TGACCCCCCTTTTGGTCTCTTGGCGATAAGTGTTGTTGATCCTAACTTGGACAATGTAGCATATTTGGACAGGAAAATGTCTTTAAAACAAAACCACAATCATTATTTCCAGGATCACATCGAGCTGGCTGGTACAGGACTAAAGTGGTGTGATTTGTTTGGTCCCGACAGGACATTCGTCTGGAAAGAATAGCATTTAATTCTGATTGGCGGTGCAGCACTCAAGCAAACCTTGATGCATTTTGCCTTGAGTGTCATTTGAGCAAGGCATTTGTATACTAAGAATTTTTAATTCGGACGAAATATCCAGTGCTTTTTATTTGTTCAACTAGTAATTAACCATTCACTGTCAAGTCTTCAGGCATCCCATTTATCCTGAATACAGTATAGCTTCAATACTATATTAGAGTATTACTATAGAGAGAGATAGACTTCATTTGAGGATATTCATACATTTTTAACAGATACCAATTTTATCTCACCATGTGAAAAAATACTATTTTTTGCCGGAGTGGCAAAAACGCTTTTCTTCACTCCATAACATAAATGTGATACCATTATTTGTTTTGGTGCAGTTATTCCACTGATTCTACACATTTTGTTAGGGATTTGATATTCCTGTCATCAGGTAGCGACATCTATTGTTTGCCGGCATCATTGTAGTTGAAACAAGGTTATTGTTTCTACTGTGGCGATAGCTGATGTCACGTTGTCGTCATTTAACAGATAATGATTGTTACATTCACTGATAATTTAGGCTATTGCACCACCAAGTATGTGATAAAATATACACTTATGTATTTCTTTCAACAACAACCTATTCACTCTAGGTGACCACCAGCGGTGGTACATGAGCAGTACTTAATCATATCAAAAGTATATTTGATAATTGATAAACTTTTTAAGTTTGCTAGACTAATGACCGCCTAACGCATATCTGTTATCAAGCAATTATCGAAGTTCGTCGTATTCCCGAATATTCATTTTAGTGGACGATAGATCCATTGTGTTGCTTGTACCTTAGTAACTGACAGATTATAGTTGCTCGCAAAAATAAATAATACACTTGTCCTTATTAATTTTCAAAAAATGGGAAAATATGACCTACAAGATCACTTACTGTTATTGCATAACATATTTTCTGAAACAATGTAACACTATTTGCATTATGTTTAGAGTTCTATGTTTGTCTGAAAATTATTCGTTGCAGTTTATCCCAAAAGAATTAGCTCAATCATTGTGTTTATGTACTTATGCCGTGGCATAACACAAGTATTCAACCACGCCTTCTACAACTGACGCTGAAATAACCAGTGTGCATCATGCCTACTACATGCATTACGTGTGACGCTGACATGCCAGTATTCAATACTATTTACTGCCATTGACAATAACATACCAGTCTTCAATCATACTTACTACCATTAACACTGACGAACCAGTATTCAATAATATTTACTGCCACTGACGTTGCCATACTGGTATTCAATCATACTTACTGATATCGATGCTGACATACAAGTATTCAATCATACTTACTGCTATCGACGCTTACATAGTAGTATTCAATCATACTTACTGTTATCGACGCTGACATACTAGTGTTCAATCATACTTACTGTTATCGACGCTGACATACTAGTATTCAATCACACTTACTGCTATCGAAGCTGACATACTAGTATTCAATCATACTTACTGTTATCGACGCTGACATACTAGTATTCAATCATACTTACTGTTATCGACGCTGACATACTAGTATTCAATCATACTTACTGTTATCGACGCTGACATACTAGTATTCAATCATACTTACTGTTATCGACGCTGACATACTAGTATTCAATCATACTCACTGTTATCGACGCTGACATACTAGTACTCAATCATACTTACTGCTATCGACGCTGACATACTAGTACTCAATCATACTTACTGATATCGATGCTGACATACTAGTATTCAATCATACTCACTGTTATCGACGCTGACATGCTAGTATTCAATCATACTTACTGCCACTGACATACACGTACTCAAGTAACTTCTAATCATCGATCCTAAAGTGACTTCTAATAATTGATCTCACTGAAGTTACTTCTAATCTTGGTTCACACTGAAGCTGCTTCTAATTATAGATCCTACTCAAGTTAAATTCTTTGAAGGGCATTTCGAAGTTATAAAAACATGAATACATGACACTTTTTATGGATACCATTTTCTCTTATTCTTTGTCAGGGTGTTTCATAACTACTGCTTGCTCCTTTATCGGGTGAATGCTGAGTGAACACTCAAGTTACATCAAATAATGGCTCATACTCAAATTACTTCTTAACATGGATCCTACTCAACCTACGCCTAATCATGGGTCCTACTCAAGTTACCTCTGATCATGTGACATATTCAAGTTACTCCTAATAATGGGACACACTCAAGTGATGTCTAATCATGGGACATACTGATGCGTATGTCATGGAAAGCAACTTCTTTTATTCTTCGTCAGGATGTTTCAGAGCTACTTTATGCTCCTTTAGGGTGGCCCTGTCGCCTAAGACGCCGCGATTCTCTGTGCAGACACCTATGGTTGTTGGTTCGAATCCCGGTTCGCCCTGATTATGTTTCTAGGTTTGTCAGCACCATACCCATACTCGTGGGTTTCGCCGAAGTGGTACACGTCTGAGACCTGCACCACTTCGGGCTTTCCTCCCACATTAAGCTGACACGCTGTGATATAACTGGAATAATGTTAAAAGCGGCGTTAAACCCAACTCACTCACTCGTCCTCCTTTATCGAGTGAATGCTGATGGAATACTCAAGTTACTTCAAATAATGGGTCATTCTCAAGTTATGTCTAGTCATGGCACATACTGATGAGTAGGTCATGCGGGAAACAGATGAAATGGGCTAGACCCCATGTGGAGAACCAACCACAAGTTTATCCAACTGTCTCGAATCGGTCATTGACGTACTGTGTGTACCGAGTAAAATGCAGTGAAAAGTCACACAGAAAGAAATGCTCGATAGTTGTCTGTGAAAGTAAACATATTCCAGTTTGTGAGTTGGATTTTAAGCCGCTTGTATCAGTATTCACAGTGGGCAACGCCAGCAATGGGTTTATTTTCATCCAGTTCAGTAGATGATGTAACATACTTTCACATAAGTAACATGACATGTAGTATTATACTTATATTCTGATAATTCCTCTCCAATGCAAGTGGGATCAATTTTGTGTCTTCTCTAAAATGTCTCCAATACATCTTTACAGCAAGGGTTAGGTAAGTGTGTGTAGTTTTCAATATTTATTCCCAATATTTCAAAGTCCCGGCTGTGCCACTCAAGTGTCAGATCCTCACATAATTTGATGTTACTTCCTGTCCAACAGCAATGGACTTCACACATTGTACGCATCAAACCCGGGCCTTCAGCGTGACGAGAGAACGCTTTAACCACAAGGCTATCCCACCGCCCAAATACATTCTAGGGTCGATAGTCTTGAAAATACCCTTGCTGACACGACAGATATACATGACCAACGAATTTACCATCATTTTCTACCAAACGCAATTTCATAAACCGTTTGCTCATAAAACTTTCACGGGAACGTAAAAGGTCCCTCATACAAGATACAGTTATCGTCCAGCGGTGGGACTGGTTTATGCTTCATGTGTATTTTTGCTGTAGACATCAAGGCGGACGGATAACCAGTCTCGATTATCCAACAAAACAGATTCCATTGGGCGTAAAAGGCGAAATAGAGGTAGGCATCGCTTGACATCCGTGATGACACCTTCAAATACCTTGTCCTTGGATTTACCCAAGAAAATAACTTGTTCATTACACGTGTTAGGTGTTCTCAAAGTAAAAGTGTGTTGTGGCAAAAGAAATGGTTTCAATCCTCTTTCGATGTATGTTGTTTAATCTCAGCCTTTTAACCCTTGTCACTTCACTCTTTTATCTTCTTTTAGTTATGCGGGGTAAACTTTTGATAAACACGTGGTGCATTCCGCGTCAATTAAAGCAACAAAACCCTTTCCATTTTCATCAGAAAGCTCTACCAAAAGCAGAATCGATTGTTCGATTCCGACTACATGTATATCATGAGCACATGTTTTTGATTCACGATCAAATAGTGCTGATAACGGATGTTCGAGAAAAGGTGAGCGTATATTGCCCTATGTCCCACCGTCGGCACCGTCACACACGGAAACATATCGTAAAGGTTTTGGTTTGGTTTGGTTTGTTGTTTAACGCCGCACTCAGCAATATTCCAGCTACATGACGGCGGTCTGTAAATAATCGAGTCTGAAACAGACAATCCAGTGATTGACAACATGAGCATCGATCAACGCAATTGGGACCGATGACAGGCATCAACCAAGTCACCAAACCTGACAACCCCGATCCCGTTAGTCGCCTTTTACGACAAGCATAGTCGCCTTTTACGGCAAGCATGGGTTGCTGAACACCTATTCTACCCCGGAACTTCACGGGCCTATAGTAAAGGTCAAAATAGGGTCAAAATAGGGACTTGCATCGGACATCATTTTGGTCACTGATGCAAATGCAAGTCAAATGTTCACCTGCCAAATATATATTTGTTGTTTAACGCAGCACTCAGCAATAGTCCAGTTATATGACGACGGTCTGTAAATAGTCGAATCTGGACCAGACAATCCAGTGATTGACATCATGTGCAGCAATCCAACCAATTGGGATACGACGGCATGCAAGATCAACCAAATCAGCGAGCCTGACCACCCGATTCCATTAGTTGCTTCCTACGACAAGTATAGTCGCCTCTTACGGTAAGCATGGGTTGCTGAAGACCTATTCTCTACCTGGATCTTTTCGGGTCGAGTTTGAAATGCCAATAGTGGGAATGGTTAAGTTAACCATTGTGCGATGCTATTTTTAGTTTAAATGACTTAGATAAGATTGCATAACGTTGTAAAGTAACTATGTTTTACATAATCTGTCTGTATCTACCTGAGAAATCGTCAGAAGGAGCCGTGGCTGCAATGGACCAATGAACAATTTGGAAAAACAATTAGGGCTATAAATACGACTCTCAATACCATTCCGTGTGTTTCAGGAATAAGGATTAACCTGTAGTCATGACCACGTACTGTCTCATCGCATTCCTTGTTGCGGCAGGTGAGTTGGGACAGTGGGGAGATAGGCCATTGACAAAGACAGTGTCAGATTTCAGTTTTGAGAAGAATGTTCACTTTCAGTGAGGGCATCTTTTGTTTGACAAATTTGGAAAAGATTGAATAGGTTCATGAGTCATATTTCTTGCTATTGGAAAATTTGCTTCGAATAATGGCAAACATACATGGGCATCTGATGTCAGAACATTATTATTTTATTTTGTTTTTTTCCTGTTTTAATTGTCCAAGCTGTTGGGGATAACCTATTGATTCTACCTTTAAACAAAGACTCGTTGATATTATCGTTCAAGGTTGTTCGGAAAATATTTGATCTTATTTTCTTTCACATTTTGCCTCCATTACATCTGTGTCTAAACCTGGGTAGTATTTAACATTAAATAACAAATTCCTTCTGCGAGCGAGTTGTAAATTTAGAATCTCTGTCCATTGTTTAAAAATAAAAGATATTAGGAAGAACAAAGACTATTCCAAGTTTATTTGTACATGTTGTTAATATGGGTGTATTGAAGACGGGTTTCAAGCCTTGTTAATCTGCCATGCCCTTGCTTCCCAAAGAAAGAAATGTTTGTCACGTTTAGAAAATACTTACGTAAATCACCAAGTGATGTACAATATATTTAACTCAAAATATATAAATACTATTAAGTCGGTAACTATCTTTATCAACCACATTTTCAATAATATTTCTAAGCGTTGTTAACTTAGCAAATGCCCTGTCACTTACGTGACTGCAACTTTATTTTTTTTATTCATTAGTACTCAGGACAACAAGCCTGAAATACTGAATAAACACGTCTGTCCGTTTGACTGTCTGTTTAGCACGAAAATGTGTCTCAAAAGAAAACAGCTGAGTTTGAAAATTCGTATCGCACTGTCACGTAATGTCGCCTACAATAAATAAGAAAAAGAAGAAGAATCATGTCAGAAAAAAGATCCCACCACCCTCACTCTTCCCACAATCGCTTAAATTTACCAATCATAATGGGATCACGTGGTTTGATTAATGTGGAGGCTCTTCGTGACAGATTGTATTGTGCACTTTGGCACACATTTATTTGTCTTATGATCCTCTTGTGAAGCATGTGAAGACTCATGATGAAAACAAGTCATTCCACAGTTTTCTTAACGAGCCAGGTATGCGGGACATAATCTCAATGTCAGTATTGATATTGTTGATGGTTCTGTACTGCTGGACGGTACAGAAATGAGTGTCAACCAAGCGAAGTGCCATATCGGCCCAGACTATCTGAACGACCACTGCATCGAGTTTATGTGCAGTGAGTTGAGAAGATCAGCAACCCAGCAGTGTCCTTCGCTTGGATGAAGTCGGCTAGCCTGAAGAGTGAAACAGAAGGCTCTCTGTTTGGTGCTCAGGACCAGTCACTGCCCCTTCGAAACCGCCAATGTGTGATTTTGTTTCAAAATGTAAATATGAAATGTAGATTATGCAATGAATTTAATGAGACACAACACATTGTCAGGTCATGCCCACAAACACAGTATCTTAATCGACAAGATGGACTGGCTCGATCATTTTTTACCGTCTTCGCCATGCTTGTGGTTTAGTCACAGAGGTCCATCTATGGTACGGCCCGGAATATGTAGAGGGCATCATGGAAAATAATAAATACGAAATTCTTTGGAATAGGCCCTCATACCTATCCAGGCTAACACACCCGATCTTGTCGTTTCCGATACATCCAAAAAAATCATTTATAGCATTGAATTTTCTATCCCTTTCGGCACTAATGTGTCAAGATTCAGGAAAAACATGGCAAATATGGGGACCTCGCTGTCACGCTTACATCCCAAGTACCAAGTTGTCCGACTCCCCATAGTTCTCGGTACCTTAGGTTTGGTACCTCCCAATCTGTTGACTGACATTTGGAAAGAAGAGGCGATTGTAAATTTCCGACTGTATCATGATCATGTGTTTATGAATGACTATCAAATAGTGATGATACCAGGTGTTTGCGAAAAGGTGAGCATATCATGGTACAGTAAACTACGGTTATAACGAACACGCTTATAACGAACTGACGGATAAAACGAACTTACTTTTTTGGTCCCGAATATTTGCTGTAGTTATTCTGTATATATGCTTATAACGAACTACGGTTATAACGAACTAATATTAGTAGTCCCCTTGAGTTCGTTATAACCGTACTTTACTGTATATAGGTCGTACATTGCTGAAACTATAGCATCAGTTTGAAGATAATTTCGAAGGTACATGTATCTCCTTCGTTGAACATGTGCTTAAGTAGACGAAGCGTTAGGGTGGTTCTTTAAAGCAAAAGTAAATGAAGCGTTTCAACGTAACGGATCAGATTAAAAGAAATCATTTCTTTCCATCGGCAGCCCGCGTCCGTCTACATTTAGGTGTAAGTTTTCAAACCTAAGTGAGATGCATTAAAATACATAGGAAAATTTGAACCCGGAATCGGCGTGTAAAATAGACACTTCAACCACAAAGTAACCGCTTATCTAGTTATAGTTATACATGTATGATGTGACATAAATAAGTGCAAAACTCTAAACAATAACCAATGTGGTGTATTATTTAGAATTTGTAATAAAGATATAGTGTCCAGGAGGTCACTTCAATTATTTGAGGGTATCAGTTCTGCATCCACTGAAACTCATTGTATTACATCTGTGGCGTCTTCTGTTTGGCAAACAGAATGAGATGAGACTGTGATTACAGAGTCTTCCAGTCCCTGATAGTCACTTTGTGGACACTTCATGGAGTTAGAAGTACAATAAGATGTGGACTGATCCGCTGACCTATGTAATAACGCTATAACTGTTAGCGCTATTAGCATAAAACATGAACGCAGAAATTTGGAAAATTCTCTTCCTGTTTATGGCGGTTCTACAAGAAACGTTCATATATACTGTGAAAACAGATATAGGGTTGCTCTTCTTAGTTAGTTTTTTTATATTTCAAATCTGGATCTTACTATTTTCGCTGCTTGCTTCTCAACTCAATGTGTCTGGTGTTACTCAATGAAATATACTGTCAACATTATAAACAATGCTTGGAATCACTTTTATTTTGTTTGGGTTTAACTTTTTTCATAATATAAAAACCTTTTATAGAATACTTGAAGCTTAAGTAAAAACACTAACTTTAACTTGCACGGAAACATCCATTAAATGCTCCAAAGTCGTATACAAGCCTGAAATACATGACACGATCAACTGATGTGGCTTCATCAGGGTAAGAAAACACTCAACTGATGACACTATGTTATTTTCAGTGTCAGCCGCGCCCTCAACGTGGGACATTAACGCTCCTGGTTGCGGCAGTAACTACGTTAACTACAAGTACCCAGACCGCTACATTGTAGGTGGGCAAGAGGCTGCTAGACACGCTTACCCATGGATGGTGAGTGTTAGAATTGTCAAACATTTAGCTAGAAGTTGGTCACTTCCGCTCAATGGTTTTCATTTCACTGTGCCACAAAGAAGAATAAAGAAACAAACTGCGAAATGTGGCTTATTGTTGACCTACCAAATATGTACGTTTGTCTCGGAGTGTTAACAAAATGGCTCTAATATGAACGGCCTAATGCTAACAGATTCAGGCGCTGGTAAGAGGCATAATCCTGGACAGCTAGTTGCAGCGCGTTATACCACTGCAAATGAATCAAGTAAGTGAGTGAGTTGGGTTTAACGCTGCTTTGGACAGTATTCCAGTTATCCCAGGGCGTGTCATCGGAAATCCCAAATCGATGCAAGGGTTAAAACTGCGAGCACGATAATGGTGCTGACAAACCGAGAAACGCAATCGTGGTGAACAGGGATTCGAACCCACCATCAAAGGTTTCTGGCGTGCCCAGAGGATGTAACTCTGCACTTCGAGTGGCGGTGGCGTTGACGACTGGGCCACCCGTCACCCGCAAAAGGATCAAGAAGAAGTTTTGGTAATCAGTGCTGTGTTTCCCTTCTAGGTCGCCATGTACTTCCGTGGATCCTTCAGATGTGGAGGTAGTCTGATCCAGGGAAGTGGCAGCAGAAGCTACGTCCTCACAGCAGCCCATTGCACAGTGTAAGGAGATGTGACAAGTTTAGAACGGATATTGAAATGTATATAAAAGAAATCCGTGCATGTGTAAATGGACATTGCAGAGCTGGGCTGGTATGTCCTGAGCTGATTGTGAGTGTAATTAGGGTATTATAGGTGCACGTTTAGTGTAGTGGGTGTCGGGGTGTGTTACATGTATGTAGGGGTGTCTAACGGGTGTACATGGAATGTTACAGGTGAGATGGGAGGGATGTTGCATATCAAAAGGAAAGTTACAAGTGGGAGAGGGCCGGTTACATGTGTCAAGGGGTACATGTGCATCTGCATGTGACTGGAAAATGTATCTCTGAAGTATGCATGGGATGCAAGAGGGACACTGTGATGCTGATATCAAATACATTGTTAATTGGGGATTAAGTAAAAAATATAGCTGTTTCTGTATTGTTGAAGTGGAAACCAACAGGGACTTTTACTGAAGTGGTGAAAGACTTTCGTGACATTCTCCATGCAAAGTTTCAGTTTCAGTGCTCATGTGGTTTCGAAAAGGCAGGACCAGATGAGCTCAACCTGACCCAGAAAACACCTTCTTCTGAATATGCTTGCAGGAACACCAATGCCAACCAATGGGAAATGCGTCTTGGGCGCCATGACCTTTCTGCCTCTGAGACCAACACAAGGCAGCACATCGGTGTAGATCAGGTCATCAACAACCCTTCCTACAGCTCCAGCACGTTAAACTGGGACATTGCCCTGCTGCGGTTGGCCTCCAACCCGACAGTGAACGACTACGTGAGGCCTGGATGTTTCCCGATTGGTGACATAAGTCCTGGGGAAAATTCCTTCGTCAGCGGCTGGGGCGTCCTCACAGAGGGTATGTTATTCATTCAACATTTCTGACAAACAAATGTTATGGATGAAGGTACACCATCTGACCATGTTTGCAGGTGCGAATATTATTTGTAATGTACAGGCGGTTCACTAACCCAATGTCTACGTTATGTACAGGCGGTTCACTGACCCATTGTCTACGTTATGTACAGGCGGTTTACTAACCCATTGTCTACGTTATGTACAGGCGGTTCACTAACCCATTGTCTACGTTATGTACAGGCGGTTCCCTGACCCATTGTCTATGTTATGTACAGGCGGTTTACTAACCCATTGTCTACGTTATGTACAGGCGCTTCACTAACCCCTTGTCTACGTTTTTACAGGCGGTTCACTAACCCATTGTCTACGTAATATATGGGGGGTTAACTAACCCATTATCTACGTTATATATGGGGGGTTCACTGACCCATTATCTACGTTATGTACAGGCGGTTCACTAACCCATTGTCTACGTTATGTACAGGCGGTTCACTGACCCATTGTCTACGTTATGTACAGGCGGTTCACTTACCCATTGTCTACGTTATGTACAGGCGGTTCACTAACCCATTGTCTACGTTATGTACAGGCGGTTCACTGACCCATTGTCTACGTTATGTACAGGCGGTTCACTAACCCATTGTCTACGTTATGTACAGGCGGTTCACTAACCCATTGTCTACGTTATGTACAGGCGGTTCACTTACCCATTGTCTACGTTATGTACAGGCGGTTCACTAACCCATTGTCTACGTTATGTACAGGCGGTTCACTAACCCAATGTCTACGTTATGTACAGGCGGTTCACTAACCCATTGTCTACGTTATATATGGGGGGTTCACTAACCCATTATCTACGTTATGTACAGGTGGTTCATTACCAGACACGCTTCAGGTTGTGAATAAGCCTATTCTCACCCACCAGACCTGCAGAGACCAACTGGGTTCCAACAACTACTACGACAGCAACATGCTTTGTGCCGGTTTTGATGCAGGCGGTGCTGATGCCTGCCAGGTAACATCTGGAATCCGCACACCATCAACATGTCCTCCCATGAGCCTAGATGCGTGTGAGACGAGGAATAATGTCACCAGTGACATACTGTAACGATCTGTGTAGACTGCTCATTTTTCTTTCTTAGGCCTCAAAGTGAGATCGACCATTCTTCTAACCTAATATGACATCGTATACGGCAACTAAAGACACCATAACTAATAGTATGACCATGTTGATCAGTTCTTGAACAACAGCATAGTGGATATTTATCATCAATGTTGATACTAAATCGAATAATAACAATGTGAGTGTTAAACAGTTCTTTAACAATGGTAGTGTAAGTATAAATAAGCAATTTGGATGTTTAATAGTCCTTGAACAAAAGCGATGTAGGTGTTTGACAGTTATTGGACAATAACAGTATATCTGTGTGTGTGTGTGTGTGTGTGTGTGTGTGTGTGTGTGTGTGTGTGTGTGTGTGTGTGTGTGTGTGTGTGTGTGCGTGTGTGTGTGTGCGTGTGTGTGTGTGCGTGTGTGTGTGTTAGTCAGGGTGTATATGATTGTTTTAACAGTTCTTGAACAATAGTATTGTATTCGATAACAGTTCCCTCAACAAAGGCACTGTTATAACAATGTGGGTGTTTAACTGTTCGTGAACAAAAGTAATGTGGGTGTTTGACAGTATCCCATCAATAGCAGAGTGGGTGTATTCAAAGTTCTCGAACAATAACAGTGAAGATGTTCACCTGGGTCCATTTCCAGAAAGCAACCTTGGCGCTAAAGCTATCATAAGTATATTTAAAGGGGTTAGAATCGTCTTCGCGCTTAGGTCGCTTTATGGAACGGAGCCCAGTCCTTTAACATGGTAGGAGTTTGAATCAAATGAAAGTCTCTGGTATGTCCAACATCAATAAACGTATGTCTCTGTAATGTACTTATTCTGGCGAGTTCTCTGACATGATAAGCTACCAGCTAGACAGAAATCTTTGGCGATATTTGAAATCGCAATTACTTTGGAAATCTATTTTGTATATTTATTCCCAAAACACAAGACGGTACATATACACTGCCTGCTTTTATTCGACAGGGAGACAGTGGTGGACCTCTGATGGCAATCCGTGGAGGAAGAGTTGAGATTGTCGGTGAGTGAGCCATGCATCGATACGTACCTTGACGCAAAATGAAATTTTTGAAATCTATTTTGATATTCGGGGGTGAGGGTGTGTGTGTAGGGGGGTAGAGTGAGGGGGAATGTTAGGGATTTTGTATGGAGACAATATATTTTTTAAGCTGCAGCTCCAAATGCAATTATAAATCCTATATCCTGAATATCGAATGGCTGGGCCCTAAACAGGAAAAGGTGCATGCCTTAACCAAATGTCATTGTTTCTTAACTCACATGTTTGTTGGATTTGTTTTACATGAAACTACTGACCGTTTCAATCAATACCACGTACGTGTGCGTGCAATCTGGTCGTGATGAATCTGAACAAGACCCTTATGATTTCTCCAGGTATCGTAAGCTGGGGATTCGGATGTGCCAGACCCGAGCGTCCAGGTGTCTATAGCAACTCGGTCAGGTCCAAGAACTGGGTTAGCAGCTACATCAACTAGAGCCACACTGTTATTACAGATGATAAAATATTCACCTCAGAATAGTTAGTTTTTATTCTTGTACACACTCAGGTGTTACACATGTACACCACTCAGTGTATAAGTCATCGTGTGTGCTATTTGGATATTGAATATGTGAATTTGATTTACTCCATGATCAGCAACATTGCAGCGCAATGATGATAAGTAAATGTGACAACATCATTTCCATAGCAACTAGCTATCACTGCTAAATACAGAGTTGAGTGTACGATTCCGACAATGTCGAGGGCATATGTTCATGAATCACTATCAAATAGTGACGATACCAGGTGTTCGCGAAAATGTGGTTTTACTCAAATGTGAATGTAATGAAAATGACACAAACGACATGGAACAAGAGTCACATGATACTCCTTGAAATCTTCGTATAAAGAACATGTTCGATTGTACCTCACAAGTTGAAATGTAGACACCAGGTGATGACGCTACGACAGGAAACGCTAGGTTCTGGGTTCACGACGAACGGACCGCCTCCGTGGTCTTGTGGTAGAGCGTCCGCCCGGAGAGCGGAAGGTCCAGGGTTCGATCCCGGGCCGCGTCATACCAAAAGACGTTAAAAGATGGTACTTGTTGTTACCCTGTCTTGCGCTCGGCATTAAGGGGCTAAAACAAGGACTGGTCGGCTCGGAGTCAGTATACTGTGTCTGAGTGGGGTATTCATGTTAAACTGCGCCATGGTATCTCAGTGAGCTAGCACTATAAATCGGCATCAGTCCGGACTAGTACAAGCAGCCACACACACACATACACGTGCATGTACGTCGCTATATAAGTGCAATAATCTTGGACGCGACGTTAAACCCAATTTCACCTCACCTCACGACGAACGTTGAGAACCCAACCCTGGTTTGGGACATTATCAGCGAACCAAACTTGCCCACCTTTAACATATGTTTTATTTGGGATTACATTTCATTCAATGTTATTAAGTTATCGAACAAATTCTAGAACTTTTTAAGGTTGAGTCCCGTCCCCAGCTTGGCAAACTAATGTAGTGTAAAGTAACTTTTGTGGAAGTGTTCTTCTTTGACGCAGAGTGTCTTTCTCAAGACGGGCGGTTAGTACAAGAAGGACTTTTTCCAAATAGCATAAGGGTGGGTAGCCTAGTTGTTAAAGCGTTCGCTCGTCACGCCGACGACCTAGGTGCGATTCCCGACATGGGTACAAAGTGTGAAGCCCATTTCTGGTGTCCCCCGCCGTGGTATTGCTGGAATATTGCTAAAAGCGGCGTAAAACCATACTCGCTCACTCAGTCAGTTGCATAAGGTGATTTGAACAATATGTATTGGCAAAAAAGGAATGGGATTGGTGGACAGGAAAAGCCTATTTGAACACCTCACCCTACAAGGCCATTTAACAATTAATAAGATTTAACAATACATGAATTTAGACCCAATTTAATTTTTAGACCAAAAAACGAATTGGGGAACAATGGAAAATATTGAGAAATTAGCTTTACTGTTAGTACATTTGAAAATATTTTTTTAATTTGAAGTTAGCACGATATCCGGCTTTTCCATTGGACGAGAGGTCGGTCACATGACCGCGAATTTGACGTTCATAAGTGTATGAACGACACAATTTGACGTTCATACGTTTTTCACGAGATCGTGTTCTTGAAATGACGTCAACACTGACGGACTACTTCCACATTCCTGGGGAAACCCCTGGGGATTCGCAAGCTCCGACGTTAGTACAGTTTGGCCCTGACTCTATGAAGGTTCATACTCCAATGAACTCACACAAAGTGAAGGTCAATTCTTAATTGCACGCATACAAATTCAACGCGTCAGAATCAAATGTTGAGATTTGTTTGTGTGCATTGTTTTCAACATGGAAACCCACGATAGCATATCGTTTCCCTGTGTCTAAAACTAAGTGTTCGCTTATTCATTTCCATCAGTATATTTTCAGATGGGGTGATACTATCAGTGAAACCATATACAATACATTTTTATACCTACAATGGGACACAAGGTCGCAGTATATACTACAAATACAAATACATGAAATGCAGAATCCATAGCTCCTTTGTCCAACTGATGTCTAATATCAATTGAAATTAAGAGAAAGCTCAATGATATGATGACAGATGTAAGATATGATGAAACGCTTTCCGTATTGGCCGAGGGACTCAAATAAATAGAATATGACTTCTTTTAGAAGAACAATACAAAACAGAAGAAGTAGTCACAACCTGGGACATCAACGCTGACAACTGCGGCGACTGGGGACACGTAGTCCTGTTCACTTCATTGTTAAAGGTGCAGTGTCCACATCACATACCTATCCACCGGCCGCCTCCGTGGTCTGGTGGATAGAACGTCTGACCGTAGAGAGGAAGGTCGGTGGTTCGATCCCCGGCCGCGTCATACCAAAATACGTTAATAGGTGGTACTTGTTGTTACCCTGGCTAGCGCTCGGCATTAAGGGGATAAAACATGGAATGGTCGTGTCAGAGTCAGTATTTGGTGCCGGGACTCCATGTTAAACTGCGGCATGGTATCCCTTAGCACTATATAACCGGCATTAGCCAGGATTCGTTCAAGACCGCCTCCGTGGTCTAGTGGTAGAGCGTCCGCCCGGAGAGCGGAAGGTCCGGGGTTCGATACCCGGCCGCGTCATACCAAAAGACGTTAAAAGATGGTACTTGTTGTTAACCTGTCTGGCGCTCGGCATTAAGGGGCTAAAACAAGGACTGGTCGGCTCGGAGTCAGTATACTGTGACTGAGTGGGGTATTCATGTTAAACTGCGGCATGGTATCTCAGTCTATAGCACTATAAATCGCCATCAGTCCGGACTAGTACAAGCAGCCACACACGTACATGCACGTCGCTATATAAGTGCAATAATCTTGGACGCGACGTTAAACCCAATTTCACCTCACCTCACCGTTCAAGCAGCCACACACACACAAGCATGCATGTCGCTAAATAAGAGTAATAATCTTGAACACGACGTTCTCTCCTTTCCACGGATCCAATGCCATTTTACTGTTAGGTTTCAATTGTTGCTATTGTGTAGTTTTGTTTATCATTTTCATAGTTTCAAAATACGTTAGCAGTAGCTATAAAGCGGGAGAGCCAAAGAAAAGATCCGGTCTGTTTCTGGCGGATGGCCTAATGATGAACATAAACATGGCTTCACGTTTAGGTGTGTCGTGATCAGATACACGTTAGTGACCCGTGAAGATCCGGGGTAGAATAGGTCTTCAGCGACCCATGGTGACTATGCTTGTAAGAGGCGACTAACGGGATCGGGAATGATGCGTAGAATGATGCTCATGATGTCAATCACTGGACTGTCTGGTCAAGACTCGATTATTTACAGACAGCCGTCATATAGCTGGAAAATTGCTGAGTATGGTGTTAAACAACAAACAAACACATATACTCCACTATATGTCCTCTGCAAATTCTAAAAGTTTCGAACAACATATATTTTATTAAAAGGTATGAACGTTACAAAATATTATGGCTTTTAAAAGACTCTAATGACGTACATATATTCTGGTTTATTAAACCGTAAAGAGACTACTAGTATGTTACTCCCACACAATTTAATCAGTTAAATACCAACGATACCAAGTTATTTATGCAAAATCCAGCACATATTTTGATCTCAGCTACATGTATTTGATAAGATTGTAATTCCTCCTTTTTTCTAAACACCTTAAACTTGAACCAGCTTTAAATATTAAAGCCTGTTTCCTGTTTAATGTTTAACGTCGCAGTAAGCAATATTCCACCTATATTCTGTATCTAATTGTAAAATCTTACTTAAAACTTAATAATTTGCAAATAAAAGATATATATTTTTGTACAAAAGAAAATGTTAGCATCAGAGATGTTCAATACTGTTGCAACATAAATAAGCGAGCACTGCTGTAATGCCTACAGTAATTTTACTTTTAACCGCGGGTAGAATAAGGGTTATCGTTCTTGTTTGAAGTAGTTCTCGTGTTCAAACGCCAATATGGAAACCTTCGAGAGGGACACGAGTCTACATTCGGCTTGTCCCAGAATGGGACGATTTGGTCACGAATGTGTCGAAACAAATTTTCGATTTACCCACGTGGTACATTGTGTAAAGCCCATTCTAAGTTTATCCTGTCGAAATAAGATTTCAATTTACCAACACAGTTACAATGTGTAAAGTCCATTCTACGTATCCCCTGTCGAAACAAGTTTTCGATTTACCAACAATCCGGGATGCATTGCAAACCGCCAATCGCTTGCAAGCGACGTACAGTAATTCGCCTAACAACGGGGCGCTAACTGTCAGCACCTTCAGCGTACTCATCGCTGACTGGGATCGCTTCCCTCTCGAACCAAATGACGGTCATAAATTTCATGAGTTCGTCATCGAGCCTCTCCTATTACGTTCTTCATTAAGGCAAGGCAACCAAGCGGTAGTTGCGCTGCCATTTTGGAAGAGTGCGCAAGCGCTTCGAACTGTTGCAGACCCCGGGGTGAGCGATTAAGTTTCTTACTCTAAGCGATTCGTGGCTTCCAACGTGTTCCCTACTGAGACGGGGTCGCCTGTGTTGTATACCATTGCTAATACACCTGTCAGGTGATGTGGAATCGAACCCTGGTCCATTCAGTAAGGGGCGGACCATTTGATATTTAAGGGGGGCTGTTGTTGGGTTTTTTGGTAGAATCCTGGTGCATTTTTCTTCATTTTGGGGGGCTTTTTTTTATTCTGAAAAGAGAGCTGAGATTGTTTTAGAACACACTTCAAATTCAACCTGTGGAACGAATGTTACAATTTTCTCAGTGCTCACTAAAATATAATAACTATACAGATGTAGGCTATTTTAAAACAGAACAATGGTAATAGCAGTATAATAAAGCATTTTTATAAAAATAAAAAAACATACGTAAGATCCAGCGACGTAAGAAGGACATTATAGATAGCATTATGGGTCCTGTCCGGAGACGTAGATTATAGACGCCTCAATGCCAATACTTACCCCTCTATCACGTTTTGTCGTTCTTTATGCAAATGCCACTCCATCCAGATACAAAACACAAGTCATTACACCTGATGGTGTTTTTGAATGGAGTCGGCTCCCTTGCGGCCTAAAAATGCTCCTATGGCATTTCAGCAAACAATTTCTGGCACTAAACGAAATGAATAAGCGTTACATATTAATATATGAAAATGACATCATTATAGTTTCTAAAACGTTTTCAGAATATTTGAATAACCTCAAGGCAATTTTCAAAAAGATAAAAAGCAGGACTCAGTCTAAAACCAGGCCAATGTAAATTCGCGACAAAACAAGCCACCTGCTTAGGGTATGTCTTCAGCAAAGATGGCATCCATGTCGATCCTTCTAAAATGGATTCAGTCACACAGATCCCATCCCCTAAAAATGTCCATGACATGCGTCATTTCTTAGGTTTGGCTTCGTATTATCGCAAATTTGTAGCAAACGTTTCTGGAATCGCCTCCCCTATATACAACCCTTTATATGTCTTTCGAAAAATCCAACAATTTCCAACAAGCTAAAGCAAGCCCTTACAACAGCCCATCCTTGCATATCCCGACCAATACAAACCCTTCATCCGCACAACTGATGCGTCTCAAACTGCTATAGGGTACTTTTAGGACATCTTGATTCTCATGGTATAACTTGTAATGGTGTTGGTAATTCATGTCTTTTGACAATACAAGTATCTTTCTTGATATTGGTCCTGTTCTGTTTTTAGGATTAAACAATGTTGGTTGGTAACGTTTCTTTTGCTCGTCAGTAAAGGTTACTGCAATAAACTATTTTTATTTATATATATGTTTATGTTGTACTTTTTTCCAAGTAAGGGTAAATGGTGCTTAATGACCGTTTCACATCACAGTTAACAACTGTTTCAATCATATCATGTAAGGCATTCAACATTGACACAAGTCACGAGTCACAACAGCAATACCTGAAAGTACACGTCATTCAGGCATTGATGGTCATAATGTTTGTTTGTTTGTTTGTTTACTTGTGGTTCAACTCCGCACTCAAAAATATTCCAGCTATATGACGGCGGTCGTTTTTCAGAGAAGTTTGAATCACTTGTAGAAAAAACAGTTCATGCCGTATTTACAAATATTGATGAAAGCATAGAATTGGTGGGAGCGGGGGGTGAGGGGTTGGGGGTTGCGGGGCTGGTGAAGAATTGAAGAAAGTGTTCCACATTGATAAGAAAGCAATGGTTTGATGTGGAATGTGGAAAGTCAATTACTAAAGCAAGAGATATGTACGTGCCAAAACATATCCAGACGAGAGACCGCCTCCGTGGTCTTGTGGTAGAGCGTCCGCCCGGATAGGGGAAGGTCCGGGGTTCGATCCCCGGCCGCGTCATACCAAAAGACGTTAAAAGATGGTACTTGTTGTTACCCTGTCTGGCGCTCGGCATTAAGGGGCTAAAACAAGGACTGGTCGGATCGGAGTCAGTATACTGTGTCTGAGTGGGGTATTCATGTTAAACTGCGGCATGGTATCTCAGTGAGCTAGCACTATAAATCGGCATCAGTCCGGACTAGTACAAGCAGCCACACAAACACACGAATGTACATGCACGTCGCTATATAAGTGCAATAATCTTGGACGCGACGTTAAACCCCATTTCACCTCACCTCCAGACGAGATAAAGATTTGCGGGTGTTGCTTTTTGCTGATGATATAGACTGGGGGGACAAATTGTAAACTCCAAGTAAACACATAAAAAGGGAAATAAACTATTAAGTAGGGGAAGATGGTCCTTCAGTCACAACCGCTACAAATTGTCACTTCTTATAAATATGTAGGGATTAGTTTCACAAGCAGATTATTGCGCAATTGTCACACCTGTGATGCAGCAATCCGGGCAAACAAAAAGATGGGTATCTTACATACTTTAAAAACTTTCACTGATCTTTCATGTGAAGAATTTTTGATGCACAAGTCAGAGGTCTGGGTTCATAATGAATACAAAGCTATTGAACTGGTCAGTCTGTATGCTTGTAAACGATACATGGGCGTAAGTAACTGTACATCGAGTGCTGTGGTATATGGTGAAAGTGGAAGTGTGTTAGAATTCTTAAATACTGGTACAAGATTCTTAAAATGCCTATTGATAGATTACCCAGAAATTGATGTCATATGATGTTATTGAATGAAAAACATGGAATTCGGAATTGGGTATATGATGTTTGTCTGTTTGTTTGTTTGTTTGTTTGTTTGCTGTTTAACGCCGCACTCAGCAATATGACGGCGATCTGTAAATAATCGAATCTGGACCAGACAATCCAGTGATTGATATCATGAGCATCGGTCCACGCAATTGGGACACGATGACATGCATCAACCAAGTCAGCGAGCCTGACCTACCGATCCCATTAGTCGCCTCTTACGACAATCATAGTCGCCTTTTACAGCAAGCATGGGCAGCTGAGGACCTATTTTACCCCGGATCTTCGTACAAGCTATGTACATAACAGTTCTAAATTGGATGCCAAGACAAAATAAGTGGTATGCCGGAGACCTAGAGAGGGGAGTTCGCACTTCAATATATTTGTAGTCCAATGTCATCATCTCATACCAGATATCGGAAATATGCTCAGAATGTGTCAGGTACACATTCTTTGAATATATAAACCTATTTTCTCATTTAGTATTTCTAAATAATCCCATACGAATGTACATACCAGTAACTTCGATATCTACAAGGACATATATTTATAATTACACGTTATTGCATCAGCACACTGGTGAGACGATCATTCAACGTCTAGTCGGAATGTTTTTATCAAAGTTAACTGCAATATAACGCCTATCGGAGAATAAAGCCTTTAATCAACGTCAAGATAACATCACACGATAGACTCGGCTAGTGTAATTCCCCTTGAACCGTCTGTTCAAAGTGTCCCTACTGTTTATTAATGTTCAGTGAAGAACGTAATAACACACGCTATCACTGATAGGGGGATTAATGAGCATCAATGTCGCCTGACACACGTTCTAGGTGTTATCGGACATGTATAAAAGTACTACCACTTCTCCCGGGGACGGAATTCGAAAGAAAATCACTCCTAACTTTTCAATATACGGTTGAAGCGCTAACGCCAAGCAGTTATCGCGTAATCCAGATTATTGAGGGCCAAAGTTATCATAAAAGACTCTTGGCATCGTTGGGTTCATTTCCCACCATCCAGCATGCAGACTGTTACTCTGGTCCTGTTATGCGCTCTATGTTACGTCAGTGCAGGTACGTGTTCATACAGCTTCATTTTTAATTGTGTGAAGTTAAACATAGGAGTGGCTCTAGAACTGTTCTTTTCACATTCTCAATTACTGGTTCTATGGAGGCACATACCGTATATAATGTAAATACCTAACCAGCAAGTCGTTTCTTCACCACTAGCTTGTGAACAAAATTCAGTGAAGAAATATTCAATATTTTGACCAGGGAACGAACTCTTCAACAACGAGGGGTAAAGAGACAGCCTTGTGCTTGTCCTCTTTCCAAGAACATCGTATCAATTACCAATTCCGAGATATTTCAGCAAGATGTATTACTCGTGGGGTGGCATCAACTCTTTCTCATCCACCTACTCTGAATGATTGGACTTTTTTATGGGTAGCTTCTTACAAATGTTTTTTTGGTTTTTTTTACTTGTTTGTTTGTTGTCTGTTGTTTAACGCCGCACTCGACGGTCTGTAAATAATTAAGTATGTACCAGATTATCCAGTGACTGACATCATGAGCATTGATCTACGCAATTAGGATACGATGACATGCATCAACCAAGTCAGCGAGCCTGACCATCCGGCCCCGTAAGTCGCCTCTTACGTGAAGCAGAGCGGTGGGGAAGACCACGGGTATAAAGCGTTCATTCGTCAAGCCATGGATTCGATTCTCGATGTTGGCAAATTGTAAGAAACCAAGTTATATAGTCCTTCGCCAAGATGTAGGTTGATTATTATTAAAGGCGGCATCAAACCGTACTCACTACCCGACTCTCATAAACGATTCCTGTAGTGTACGAAAGGACCTGAAACCGTTTTTCTGTCTGTCTATCTCCATTGATTTCTTTCGTTTAGCAAGACACGCGTTACCTTTCCCCCCGGGCTTGTTTCGCCGCCTACATTCGATTGAGGACTACCCCCGTGTGGCAGAGTATCCCCCAGTTCGGAGGAGGTTTGCGGCCTGGCTGGAGCAGTGGCGTTCAAGAAATGAAGAGTGCGGCCGCCAAGCTATTAAACCCTACATGCCTCTCTTCAGGGTCGTTGGTGGCCTTGACGCCAGGCCAGGCAGTTGGCCGTGGATGGTACGTAGCACCGGAGTGAGTGCAGGCGTGAATGGAATTTCAACATTTGCCCCGACTTATGCCCTAGGAACCGCATACGCCATCACACGTTTTATCATATAATATATCTTGGTGTCGATTCGATAAATATGCAAATGAGGTGCACTAGCAGGAACTACTTTTTATAAGGCCCATGCGTCGATGCAATGTCTACTTGCTCAATAAACTGTTGCCTAACGCTCCAATACGTTTCGGTCTCGTATCTCGATGTGTGGATCTTACTGTACATAAACATGACTTCAAATCATCTGGCACTATATGATTAATTGGGCGGTTCACTCTGGCACTGTATCCATACGCGAATGTTAAAATCACATCCTGGGTGAAATGACGTCTTAAACAGAGATTATTTTAAGAATGACATCATGTGACAAAGATATTATTACCCTCGTGCTTCAGGGCCGTATATATCATATAGCAGGAGCAGCAAATATGCATAATGCTCGCCAAAGGCAGGGTCCCACGATCGTGGGTTCAAATCCATCATTATGATCGTTGATGTGTCAATACCTTACCCATGGGCGTGGGGTTCATCAAAGCGGTAAAAATGTTTGACCAGCATCACTTTGAGATTTCATCACACATGCCGTGATCAAACTGAAGTACTGTTCACTCACTCACTCACTATTACAGATATCCCTAAGGCAAGAAACGATTGGCCAGACCTGGTGTGGCGCCACCCTGATTGACAGGCAGTGGGTGGTCACAGCTGCACATTGTTTTAATGGGTAAGTGCACTATTCCTTGTGTATGATGAGTCTACATTTCTACGTGACCCATGAACATCCGGGTTAGAATAGGTCTTGAGCAACCTATGCTTGTCGTGAGAGGCGACTAACGGGAACGGGTGGTCAGGCTTGCTGACTTGATGGATGCATGTGAGTGTATCCCAATTGCGTGGATTCGATGCGCATAATGTTAATCAATCGATTGCCTGGTCCAGACTCGATTATTTAGAGATACAGTCATATAGCTGAAATATTGCTGTGCGGCGTTAAACATCAAGAAATCAAACAAATACATTCATAAGTAAACGAAAAGAGTGTTATGCTATTTGTGTAAAGTGCCTTTGAATAAAATGAAACGAACACGAAATGCTTATCCGATGGTGATTTATTTGATACGGGTATCCTCCTTGTGTTTTGGAACTTAGATTTGCAGCGTTTCGGCGAAGCGACTGTTTTAAGCCAAGTAGCGTGTGTTAGTTTTTGCTCGGATCTAACTTTCAAGTGTCGACTTTTTTTGACAGGCATTATATTTCAAGGTTGTAATACAAGTTTCGGTTTTGGTTTATTATTGTATCGTCATTTTAATGACATATTCTGTTACGTACAAGGAGAGACAACACTAATTTGGTGGTGGAGCTTTTTGATGCACTAATGTACTGAAAAGAATTACCCTCCCCAGACGCTTGTCATATTTTTGGACGACCCTCCCCATGTCCTTGTACATTCTATTCAAGACCCTTCCTGAAAAGACAAAATGCAAAGACTATATATTTCATAATATAATGTCCATTTTATCATTACCGTCACTTCTCCATGAAGATCCGGGGTAGAATAGGTCTTCAGCTATGGTCATGCTTGCCGTAAAAGGTGACAATGCTTGTTGTAAGAGGCGACCAACGGGATCTGGTGGTCAGGCTCGCTGACTCTGGTTGATGCACGTCATCATATCCCAATTGCATGGATCGATGCTCATGGTGTCAATCACTGGATTGTCTGGTCCAGACGACATTATTTACAGACCGCCGTCATATAGCTGTAATATTGCTGAGTGCGGCATTAAACAATAAACAAACAAACAAACAAACACATATAACAGACTGATATTGTCACAACCCTTCTTGCAGTTAATACTATAAAGTATATTTGTATTTTAAATAACAAACAAAACATTACTGATCTTTGGTGATCCACGTGTGATTCCCTTGAATTATTTCAAGTGTGGCTGCCATGATAACCATGTTGAAAGTGCAATTTTGTCCGTCTATTCGGGGATTAGTGTATTATCAATTGGTAGTTTAACATGCGGCGATTGTATCTGTTGTGTAATATGTTCTGTATATTTTGATGTGGCGCCCTTATGAAGTGTTTTCATCTTAATATTTTAAATTATTAAGGGGGCACGGGTGGCCCAGTCGTCTAAGCCGCCGCGAAGTGCGTCCCTTGGGCACGCCAGAAACCTATGATTTTGGGTTCGAATGCATACTTGCTCGTGGTGTTCACAAAAGTGGTTAAAACGCTCACATTTAGCTGGCAAGCCGTGATATACGAGGGGCTTTCAATAAGTTTTGCAACTTCAATAAAAGACCAAGTCGCAGAATATCTTTTGCATTTTTCAATATAATCTCCATTCACGTCAATACACTTATTCCATTTGTCCTTCTAGCTTTTAATACCACTTTATTAGAAATCCGCAGATTGGCCCTCTAACCACGCCTCTGTGGCAGCCTTTATGTCCTCGTCATCCTTGAAGCGTCTTCCACGTAGGGCAGATTTCATTTGCCGGAACAGGAAATAGTAACTGGGGGCTAAGTCTTGGCTGTAGGGTGGGTGATTTAACTGTTCGAATCCACATTGACATATGGCGGCCTGTGCAATTCTCGACTTGTGAACCGGAGCATATAAGGAACTTTATTACAGCGCGTTGTTCATGTTTGAGAGAATCCATGATTGTGACCACCCTCAGGTGAATGAAGACATCACATCTAACTTACTGTTGTGTCTGGAATTTGTTATGACACGTGTCAACCTGGTGTTATGACTAGTGTCAGCCCTGCCACAAGTTGACATTGTTTGTGTAAACATTAATGGCCAAGTTGCAAAACTTATTGAACGCCACTCACTCACTCACTCTCTTCCGATGGTAGATGACCAGCTGCTGGAAACACGATTACGTTCATTAACCGGAACACAAGACGTGTGTTGTCCCAAGTAGGGAATGGGTACCCGATATGTGATGTGGACGTAAAAACACTCTAGCGCCTGGAACTCTAACTGGAATGTATAAGGTTCCACCGGTCGGGGAACAAATATACCGCATTTGAGCAGATACCAATACTGTATAGGTGCGGTATATAAATGTATAATGTTATATAGCAGTGTATCATATTGTTCAACAATGATAGTAACCGTGTTACATTGTTTCTGTTGAGATCCGGTAGAGGCTCATTGCATTGTGTTTGGACACTGACCAGTCGTAAGGAAGTTACTATATTTAGATGCTAGTGTCGTGTGTAAACTTCGCGGACGGTGATGGTATGTTACCGACATTTCAGTAATGTCCTATGTTGTAAGAGCTATGTGGGACTTTCCAGTGGCTTGTAAGGCTGTATATATATATATATATATGGGACAAGAGCGTGTTTAAGGTTCTCGTACACATTTTCATGACATCGGAACCAGCTTTCATGGGAGGATTGCTCATCATCCCTGTTACCCTCTATCTATCTCGGAAGCTTGACCACACTCGCCGCTGGGTGAATGTAGTCACTGACTTTTGCTATCACCACTATATTTTTGTATTTGATACTGACACTGTCATCATATCATTATACTGTAATTGAACATTGTACTATCACTCTATGTACTGCCATTGTAATTGCTGCGCTGTAATTTGTGTTGATTTGTAAAGCTACTTAATTTTGTAATACAAGTGTTAATTGTATGCCATCTGTTGGTTGGTTGTTGGTTTCACACAAGATGCTTTTACGATTTCTTGGTTAACATATTGTTTCACTTTGGGAATCGACACGTAAAAATAATGTACATAAATGCATGTGTACAGGCCGTTCTACGACCCCGAGTCGTGGACCGTGCAACTAGGGCGGCACAACACTACCCCAGGGATTGAGGAGAGTACGGGACAAGAGAGACGGATCGGGAGACTTTACAAGCATCCAGGATTCGACGAAGGGTTCGACTTCAACAACGACATTGCCCTCATTAAACTGGACGAACCTGTGGACCTCACTGAGGTCATTTCTCCCCTTTGTCTGCCAGATGCCACCGTGGAGGTCAAGACTGGAAAGGAGTGTCTTGTTGCGGGATGGGGACTCACGGGCAAAGCAGGTAGTTCTACACGAAGCGGTGATGTTATAAAAAAAAATTAAAAAGTACTCACGGAAATGAAAAAAGACCTGTTTTTTCTCAATTTAAAAATCGACACAAAGTGTTACGTAGCTGTAAATACGAAATAACAAAACAACTCGAAAAGTACTAGTCTGGATTTGCTAGTTTGATCTCAGTGAACAATACACAATGTACTTTACAGGAGGTAATTTGTCAGCACTTTCAACATTCAAAAATAAAACTAAGTCCAAATTGACATAGCAGAAACAGACTATAGGCATTATGCACCTGTTCTCACCTGTCGTCAAGGTGGCATAGGTCACCTTGATCTACTTACACCTGGTTATGCCCTGTTTCACAATAGTCTGTTTTATTCACATTTTTACACACTTTTACGTGTAAAAAGGCATAAAAACATTTGATACGCTGTATTTGTGCCACGGCCCAATTAGTACTAATTTAGTTGTTTGAATATTTACATATTTTGTATATTAACTGCATTTATTTAAGATAATTTCCGTGAGTACTTTTTTTTTTTTTTTTAGAAGTGCCAGTTGTTGTGGTAGAATTAGTAAGTGTTATAGTCATACTGGTTGTAATGATAGTAGTAGATGTGACTAGGGTAGTTGTTATGGTGGTAGTAGGTGTGGTGAGAGCAGTTGTTGTTGTGGTAGTAGTAGTTGTGGTGAGGGTAGTTGTTGTTATGGTAGTAGTAGTTGCGGTGAGGGTAGTTGTTGTAATGGTAGTAGTAGTTGCAGGGAGGGTAGTTGTAATGGTAGTAGTAGTTGTGACGAGGGTAGTTGTTATGGTAGCAGTAGTTGTGACGAGGGTAGTTGTTGTTATGGTAGTAGTAGTTGTGACGAGGGTAGATGTTATGGTAGTAGTAGTTGTGACGAGGGTAGTTGTTATGGAAGTAGTAGGTGTGGTGAGGGTAGTTGTTGTTATGGTAGTAGTAGTTGTCATGAGAGTAGTTGTTGGAATGGTAGTAGTAGTTGTGACGAGGGTAGTTGTTGGAATGGTAGCAGTAGTTGTGACGAGGGTAGTTCTAATGGTAGCAGAAGTTGTGACGAGGGTAGTTGTAATGGAAGTAGTAGTTGTGACGAGGGTAGATGTTATGGTAGTAGTAGTTGTGACGAGGGTAGACGGTATGGTAGTAGTAGTTGTGACGAGGGTTGTTGTTATGGTAGTAGTAGGTGTGGTGAGGGTAGTTGTTGTAATGGTAGTAGTAGTTGTGGTGAGGGTAGTTGTAAAGATAGCAGTAATTGTGACGAGGGTAGTTGTTATGGTAGCAGTAGTTGTGACGAGGGTAGTTGTTGTTATGGTAGTAGCAGTTGTGACGAGGGTAGATGTTATGGTAGTAGTAGTTGTGACGAGGGTAGTTGTTATAGTAGTAGTAGGTGTGGTGAGGGTAGTTGTTGTTATGGTAGTAGAAGTAGTTGTCATGAGGGTAGTTGTTGGAATGGTAGTAGTAGTTGTGACGAGGGTAGATGTTATGGTAGTAGTAGTTGTGACGAGGGTAGATGGTATGGTAGTAGTAGTTGTGACGAGGGTAGATGGTATGGTAGTAGTAGTTGTGACGAGGGTAGTTGTTATGGTAGTAGTAGGTGTGGTGAGGGTAGTTGTTGTAATGGTAGTAGTAGTTGTGGTGAGGGTAGTTGTTGGAATGGTAGTAGTAGTTGTGACGAGGGTAGTTGTTGGAATGGTAGTAGTAGTTGTGACGAGGGTAGTCGTTATGGTAGTAGTAGTTGTGACGAGGGTAGTTGTTGTTATGGTAGTAGTAGTTGTGACGAGGGTTGTTGTAATGGTAGCAGTATTTGTGACGAGGTTTGGTGTTGTAATGGTAGTAGTAGTGGTGGCGAGGGTAGTTGTAATGTTAGCAGTAGTTGTGATGAGGGTAGTTGTAATGGTAGTAGTAGTTGTGACGAGGGTAGTTGTTGTTATGGTAGTAGTAGTTGTGGCGAGGGTAGTTGTTATAGTAGCAGTAGTTGTGACGAGGGTAGTTGTCATGGTAGCAGTAGTTGTGACGAGAGTAGTTGTTATTGTAGCAGTAGTTGTGATGAGGGTAGTTGTTGTAATGGTAGTAGTAGTTGTGACGAGGGTAGTTGTTGTTATGGTAGTAGTAGTTGTTGTAATGGTAGTAGTGGTTGTGACGAGGGTAGTTGTTGTAATGGTAGCAGTGGTGAGGGTAGTTGTTGTAATGGTAGTAGTAGTTGTGAGGATAGTTGTTTTTAAGGTAGTAGTTGTGACGAGGGTAGTTGTTGTAATGGTGGTAGTAGTAGTTGTGATAATAGTTGTTGTAACGGTGGTAGTAGTTGTTCTGATGATAGTTTTCGTTTGTTTAATGGTAGTAGTAGTTGTAGTTGTGATGATAGTCGTTTGTTTAACGGTAGTAGTAGTTGTTGTTGTTGTTGTTGTTGTTGTTGTTGTTGTTGTTACGGTAGTTGTATTTGGGATCGTGACGGTATTTGTAATAGTATTAGTTGTAATTATGGAAGTAGTTGCAATAGCCGTTGTCACGGTAGCAATCGTTTCTAGGGCGGCAGCAGGAGTTTAGATGGCAGTGGGGCGTTCAGTTGTTGTAGTTTGGGGAATAATTTGATCCGTTGCATTGATTTAAGTGTATTTCAATCCAAACCTTGTAAACACATCAGTCAGATACCAACCAAATAAATATATGAAGTGTCGACAACTGTGTATTTGTTTTGGGGGGCATTTCCAAATTTGTCACATCAGTGACAGATATGATGTTCAATGCAATTCCATATTTTGACTTGTACCATATGTTCCCGTGAACAATTGCCTTGCCTTTGCATGCGTTTGTGACGGGTGCCACCGATGGGGCAGGATACGCTCACCTTTTCGCGAACACCTGGTATCATCACTTCTTGATAGTGATTCTAAACATGTGCTCATGAAATAGTCGTAATCGTTCTATGGACTCTGCTTTATTGTATATGGAAAGGGTTTTGTCGCTTTATGTATTTGTCATGATGTTTGTTTGTTTTGTCGCTTTATGTATCTGTGTGTCTCTGTCTAGGTCCCCCCGGTAGTAACATACCGCACGTCCTGCGACAAGGTATGGTGCCACTCATCTCCGCACCGGACTGCCGGACGTTTCCTGGATTCGGCTCCATCACTCCTAATATGATGTGCGCAGGCTACACTGAAGGAGGTGTTGACACATGCTTTGTGAGTCTATTTCTTATACACAATAAAGAGAGGTTATCCCTAAACACACAAGCGTGATAACCTCTTTATCATATAACGTCATTCTTCAATTCTGTGTTCGACAATCTCTTCCAATCTCTCACAAACATTACCTAAACATTGCAAGGTTTACTGGAATGTGCGCATTAATATATATTACGTCAGAAGGTTAGTGATGGGTCAGTCGGACAGTGACAGTAGCCAATATAGTTCCAACTGAAACCTGTTTCTTATTCAGTGGCGTAACTACATATATGCAAAACAACAATTGCCTACACAAATTGTTTCTCCTTGCCTTTCGCGGCAATCCATCTGTCTGTCTGACAGAATAACTGCCCTTTGACAAAGGGAAGCTACTCTAACACTAGTCTACGAAACGTAACGGCCACAGTCAGACGTTGTTGACAGTCGGCCTGGCTTGTCATAACGTTACGAATTGCAGTCAGATGTACACATGGTGACAACAAAACAAGGTGACACTTCGGGCATATTTCGGCAAAATCCAAACCGCAGAGGTCTGCAAGCACAGATATGGCAACTGATCCCGTTTGGCTAGTGTCCTTGCGAAATTGTTTCGCAATTTATATCTCCAAAGTTGCCCAAACTTGTCAAATGCCTTAGCTACGTCACAGTTAGGCACTGATTTACAGTATATTAGACTATTCTTTTGATAATGATAGCAATTATCCCAGAAGTTTCTCCAGATTCCCGATGGTTAATTCTTACTCGCGGAATGACCAGGTCGACGCCATGCTCTTTATAAGCACTGAAAGTAGTCCCATCATTATATCATTTTCATCCGTTGGCTTTATCCTGCCGAGAAACCTAACCATAAAATGATAAAACATTTTACTGTATTCATATTTTATATGCGACTCAGCCTTTATGGATATTATTTAAATGACCAGGAAACACCAAATGATTAGATACTTATATGCAGATACATGACTCGTAGGAAAAACGCCAATCTCGATTATCCGCCGAAACAGAGTAGTATTTTTGTAATATCAAGAAGGCGTGTGAGTGTAAGAACGTGTGAATGTAGGAGTGAGTGAGTAGTGTTTTACGCCGCTTTTAGCAATACCCCAGCAATATTACGGCAGGGGATACCAGTAATGGGCTTCACACACTGTACCTATGTCGGGAATCGAACCCGGGTCTTCGGCGTGACGAGCGAACGCTTTAACCACTAGACTACCCCACTGCCCACTGTGAATGTGGAAAGTTTGAAATTGATTTACGAAATATCGCGCTGATTAATCAAATAAAATGGCTGCATCTGTGCTACTAAAGTGAAAACAAGCCATTCCGGCGATAAGGAGCATAACTCACAGTTATGACAATACTCGTGAAGGTCCGGGGTAGAATAGGTCTTCAGCAATCCATGCTTCCCGTAAAAGGCGATTATGCTTGTTGTAAGAGGCGACTAACGGGATCGGGTGGTCAGGCTCGCTGATTTGGTTAATGCAAGTCATCGTATCCCAAATGCTTGGATCGATGCTCATGATGTCAATCATTGGTTGTCTTGTCCAGACTCGATTATATACAGACCGCCGTCATACAACAAACAAACAAAGTAATGACAAATTGGCAAAGCGCGCTTTTCAATAAATATCCACTGAAACTAACAAAGCGCCGGTTGCTATGGTAACGTAAGCGTAATCGTAATCGGATGGTAGCACCGGTAGGTCTGAATTGTTTTCTTCTTTACATAGTTTCATCTTCCCTAGGCAAGGGGATTAACTGACGATAGAAGTCCAGTTTTCACCCTTGCCGAACTGGGCCGTAATTTCTTGGCTCGGTCGTAGCGCCACCGGGGTCTTTACTAGTTATGTCCCTTCGATGTCCATTCTATTAATCAATCAGATTCCACCTTTCACATCACTTGTATTTGCTTCAAACACAATGGCGGCGCCCTGTTAAGACGATCTGATCGATAATCAAAATATTTATTGCAATATAATGGGTCTTACTTCACGTAAGTACATCAAATTTCTTGAGGACGTTCATTAAAAACATTGAAAAAAATGGAACATATCTGTCGACACCCAGTTGACGGTACACATGCTTCGCAAATCCTGCAATCGACCGAAATCTGCACGATGGTCGCCATGTTATTTACGAACTGGGTGTCGATTTCATTACGCGATTTTGATTGGACGATGCAAGACTCGTTAGGTAAACCAAAATAAAACCCAGAAATTACAGCCTAGTTCAGCAAGGGTGGAAACTGGACTTCTGCAGTCAGTTAACTATGTTGCCTCGGGCATATGTCAATCCGGTGAAGACTCATTAGTTTGCAGATTAGTGATTACTGTAGAGAAGTCTACATACATTTTTTTTAAATACTCTGTTCCTATGATGTGTAAATCCGACAATGGTAAATACAGATAAGGGACGTGAAGTATGCTAAGTGGCTTCTAGAAATATCTGTTCAATGTCAACATTGTTACGAATGTTATCAGACATGTTCATATGCCTCGGAAGTATACTGCGCAGATGCAATTCTAACTTGTCGTTGTGACCAGCGAATTTGTCGTCATGTGACATGAACAGGTACATAAATATGTAAGGATAAGATATATGGATGAACAACTTCTTGATTAAAATTAGGAGTGACGTTTCGGTGTAGGTTCTAACACCGTTATCAAGAAAGAGATGTGCAGAGTATGGTTGACAAGCATATCTACTCAACTGTATAGACACTGCCTCACATCAGAATATATGCTTGTCAACCATACTTTCTCACTTACTCACTCCAAAAGTTTTTATCTTTCAGTAAATAATGCAGATGTGATGGGTCATGTGACCATTATATAGAGTACGACACTGTCTGCAGTAACGAGGTATTACTGTACTCCTTTTCTCATGCTTGTGCTTGCAGGGAGACAGCGGCGGCCCCCTTCAGTGCCAAGTGGGGCATAACTGGTACCTGGCAGGTAAACAGTGGAGACGTGATGAGAAATATTATTTTTTGTTAATATAAGATAGCCACGCGTTAAATCGCAACGAACAATGAAGAACGTGGTTTATTTTACGATAAAACATTGTTCTATCATGACGTCATTTCTGGAGATTCGAACATGCGATCGCAACTTGATGACGACTTAAATTGGACAAGGTTATTTTTGAGAGGGAAGTGTCCGGTGAGTATTTACTCGTAGAAGTAGCTGGGCTAAGCAGACATACGCTATGGTCGAACGATCGCATCCAAAAGTGGGCGAGATACGACAATCGGTAATGGGAGAAAAGGTGCAGATAATCGACTTGAAAATTGTGAGAACACAAAACCTAACCTCCCTGTACATAAAAAGGACTTGTCCGACATTGCCTAGGTCGGATTGTATTCAGAGAGTCATCATTATTTACATACATGTAAATGTTTTAAAGTTTGTACATTTTATTGACATCCTTGAGAAGGCTGTACAAAATATTGAAATTTCATATAAGAAATAAACGACTCGTGGTCGTTGTTTATCGTATCATAAAACACTGCAGTGTTTTATTGCACGATAAACAACGACCACGAGTCGTTTATTTCCTAAATCTACAGTAGAACAATAATTATGGCTGACCAGGTAAACAAGAACCACACATCACACATCGAACCTGGGACATCAGTGTGGATTGTGGTGATGAGGTGAAGTGGGGTTTAGCGTCTCATTTAAGACGGTTGCACTTTGAAACGATGTGTGTTTGTAGCTGCTTGTACTAGCCCGGTCATATTGTGTTAGCCCACTGAGATACCATGCAGCAGTTTAACATGGATACCCCACTCAGACACAGTATGCTGACCCCGACCCGACCAGTTCTTATTTTAGCCCCTTAATTCCGAGCGCCAGGCATGGGAACAACAAGTACAATCTTTTAACGTCTTTTGGTATGACGCGACCGCGAATAGTACCCCAGGCCTTACGCTCTCCGGGCGGACGCTCTACCAACAGATCTTGTGGATAGTGAGCGAGTAGGGTTTCACGCCTCAGTTTGTAATATTCCATCAAGATGACGACGCAGACTCCACGAAATGGCGTCACACATTGCCTCAATGTGAACATCAATTCCGAGGCTTCAAATTAAGGAGCGAATTTTAAACACGGTGTCAGTCCGCCCCTTACGAAGTTACACTATTTCATTACATTTATATAACGTCCTGCGCCGCACACGGTTATAGCTTCTCTCACCATACATTCATCTTTCTCCGTCCACAGGTGTGACTAGTCATGGTTTTAATGGAACCTGTGCTGAGCCAGAGAAGCCCGGTATCTACACCAACCTCCTGAGATACACAGACTGGATACACTGGCACGTGTACCTGGACCCCTACTTCTAGCCGACACCTCAGCCCCTACTTCTAGCTGACACCCAGAGCCCTACTTCTTGACGACACCTTGACCCCTACCTCTAGCCGACACATGGAGCCCTACTTCTAGCCGACACCCAGAGCCCTACTTCTTGACGACACCTGGACCCCTACTTCTAGCCGACACCCGGATCCCTACTTCTTGACGACACCTCAGCCCCTACTTCTAGCTGACACCCAGAGCCCTACTTCTTGACGACACCTGGACCCCTACTTCTAGCCGACACATGGATCCCTACTTCTAGCCGACACCCAGAGCCCTACTTCTTGACGACACCTGGACCCCTACTTCTAGCCGACACCCGGATCCCTACTTCTAGCCGACACCTCAGCCCCTACTTCTAGCTGACACCCAGAACCCTACTTCTTGACGACACCTGGACCCCTACCTCTAGCCGACACATGGAGCCCTACTTCTAGCCGACATCCAGAGCCCTACTTCTTGACGACACCTGGACCCCTACTTCTCGCCGACACCCGGATCCCTACTTCTTGACGACACCTCAGCCCCTACTTCTAGCTGACACCCAGAGCCCTACTTCTTGACGACACCTGGACCCCTTCTTCTAGCCGACACATGGAGCCCTACTTCCAGCCGACACCCAGAGCCCTACTTCTTGACGACACCTGGACCCCTACCTCTAGCCGACACATGGAGCCCTTCTTCTAGCCGACACCACAGCCCCTACATCTAGCCGACACCTGGACCCCTACTTCTAGCCGACACCCGGATCCCTACTTCTTGACGACACCTCAGCCCCTACTTCTAGCTGACACCCAGAGCCCTACTTCCAGCCGACACCTGGACCCCTACTTCTAGCCGACACCTGGAGCCCTACTTCCAGCCGACACCTGGAGCCCTACTTCTAGCCGACACCTTGACCCCTTCTTCTAGCCGACACCTGGAGCCCTACTTCCAGCCGACACCTGAAGCCCTACTTCTAGCCGACACCTTGACCCCTACTTCTAGCCGACACCACAGCCCCTACATCTAGCTGACACCCAGAGCCCTACTTCTTGACGACACCTTGACCCCTACTTCCAGCCGACACCTGGAGCCCTACTTCTAGCCGACACCTTGACCCCTACTTCTAGCCGACACCTCAGCCCCTACATCTAGCTGACACCCAGAGCCCTACTTCTTGACGACACCTGGATCCCTACTTCTTGACGACACCTCAGCCCCTACTTCTAGCTGACACCCAGAACCCTACTTCTTGACGACACCTGGACCCCTTCTTCTAGCCGACACGTGAAGCCCTACTTCTAGCCGACACCTGGAGCCATTCTTCTAGCCGACATCTGGAGCCCTTCCTCTAGCCGACACCTGGAGCCCTACTTCTAGCTGACACCGGATCCCTACTTCTAGCCGACACCACAGCCCCTACTTGTAGCCGACACCCGGATCCCTACTTCTAGCCGACACCCGGAGCCCTACTTCTAGCCGACACCACAGCCCCTACTTCTAACCAACACCTGGACCTCTACTTCTAGCCGACACCCGGACCCCTACTTCTAGCCGACACCCGGATCCCTACTTCTAGCCGACACCCGGACCCCTACTTCTAGCCGACAACTAGAGGCTCTGCTTCTAGCCGACACCCGGATCTCTACTTCTAGCCGACACCTGGACCCCTACTTCTAGACGACACATGGACCCCTACTTCTAGCCGACACATGGACCCCTACTTCTAGACGACACCTGGATCTCTACTTCTAGCCGACACCTGGACCCTAAAACAAGTCGACACATGTACCTTCACAACTAGATTACGGACTGCTGACACACTGCAAGACACCATACCCCACACAGCCAGATTAGTGACGGTTGACACACTACCGTGTGATACTGATAGAGGTGTCTGCACCCACACACAATATGAAAATGTCAGTCTGAATGGCCACATGACGTCTTAGTGCCCCCGACTACATATATCAAAGGCATGGCAATGATCAACATGGCAGACAAATATATATCTTAACAAATATATAACTATATCAACATTTTATCAGAGTTTACACCAGAACAAGGATAGCTACACAGCGTGTCAGTCTCAAAACATCAAAACGGTGGTTATTATTGCAACTGAATACTCTATGGTTCAAAATACTATGTTTACTGTGATTTAACAAATAGTCTCATAGCCCCCTGTTTCAATAAACAACAGTTTGTTAATACCTCTCTGTTCACTTTCTCTCTGCAAGGATCTACCTTATGGCATAATGTTTTTTGATAATATCTGTATACTCTACTTCAAAGACTCCACCCGTGAAGATCCGGGGTAGAATAGGTCTTCAGCAACCCATGCTTGCCGTAAGAGGCGATTATGCTTGTCGTAAGAGGCGACTGACGGGATCGGGTGGTCAGGCCCGCTGACTTGGTTGATGCATGACATCGATCCCAATTGCGTGGATCGATGCTCATGATATCAATCACTGGATTGTCTGGTCCAGACTCGATTATTTACAGACCGCGGTCATATAGCTGGAATATTGTTGAGTGCGGCGTTAGACAACAAACAAACAAACCTTCGTTTCTATATCGCCCTCCGTCATGTTCTTACAAACACTTTCACGAACTTTGTAATCAGCATGAAACCATCTCACTTCTCGGTACGAACGATCGAAACATTCGAGGCAGCATATCTGGCTCTGTATCTACAAAAACGAATGTAAATGAACCGTTCCAAATGGGAAATAACAAGGGTGTGGATGTTTCACACCTTGTCGTTTCAGTCGCATCTTTCAAATCCAATGCGCTTCACAAAGCCGCCAGAGTTTCATAAAGCTAAAGAGAGGCACTCTTGTATTCGTTTGGCGGTCAATGTCCACCTGACATGTCATCCTTTTTATAGAATAAAACAAAACGTTTGGAAACACACACACACACACACACACACACACACACACACACACACACACACACACACACACACACACACACAAAACAACACACTCTACACATAAACACACTCCACAAGCATGCACGCACGCACACACACACCACACACACACACATATATATACACACACACTCTCCAACACACATACACTCCCCATACACACACGTATACATACACTCCACGCACACTCAACACTCACTCTCTCTCTCCACAAAACTTTAATATTCCAATCTCTGATAAACACGTGCGCGTGCTCTAAGCAAAGTTAGCACAATTAAAAAACCTAGATCACAACAGTCGACATATTTATAAATAGGTTGATAAGAGCATGAGTAAACATCACTCCTTGCTTTTTGTCACGTGACTAATCACGTATAGGTAGCTATGCAACCTACATTAGCGACATGATAGGAAATTATCTGCCATACAGACAGTGCCTGACCACCCCGTGAAGGACAGATACAGGAAAACCAACAGTTTACAGAATGGCCTCCTCTGAGGTACACAATAAACATCCATCCAATTACATTTGTTTGCACATCTATACGCCTACATTTGTCATGAAGAGGTAGTTGCACATATTTGCTTAAACGGGAAGCACTAGCTCTCCCTACTGTAACTACGGTCTTTTAAACTGTAATCGTTCCCCATACAGTCATGGAAGTTGAGTCATTGCTTGCACACAGTATACCAATGACTGTAATCGTTCCCCATACAGTCATGGAAGTTGAGTCATTGCTTGCACACAGTATAACATTGACTGTAATCGTTCCCCATACAGTCATGGAAGTTGAGTCATTGCTTGCACACAGTATACCATTGACTGTAATCGTTCCCCATACAGTCATGGAAGTTGAGTCATTGCTTGCACACAGTATAACATTGACTGTAATCGTTCCCCATACAGTCATGGAAGTTGAGTCATTGCTTGCACACAGTATACCAATGACTGTAATCGTTCCCCATACAGTCATGGAAGTTGAGTCATTGCTTGCACACAGTATACCAATGACTGTAATCGTTCACCGTACAGTCATGGAAGTTGAGTCATTGCTTGCACACAGTATACCAATGACTGTAATCGTTCCCCATACAGTCATGGAAGTTGAGTCATTGCTTGCACACAGTATACCAATGACTGTAATCGTTCCCCATACAGTCATGGAAGTTGAGTCATTGCTTGCACACAGTATACCAATGACTGTAATCGTTCCCCATACAGTCATGGAAGTTGAGTCATTGCTTGCACACAGTATACCAATGACTGTAATCGTTCCCCATACAGTCATGGAAGTTGAGTCATTGCTTGCACACAGTATACCAATGACTGTAATCGTTCACCATACAGTCATGGAAGTTGAGTCATTGCTTGCACACAGTATACCAATGACTGTAATCGTTCACCATACAGTCATGGAAGTTGAGTCATTGCTTGCACACAGTATACCAATGACTGTAATCGTTCCCCATACAGTCATGGAAGTTGAGTCATTGCTTGCACACAGTATACCAATGACTGTAATCGTTCCCCATACAGTCATGGAAGTTGAGTCATTGCTTGCACACAGTATACCAATGACTGTAATCGTTCCCCATACAGTCATGGAAGTTGAGTCATTGCTTGCACACAGTATACCAATGACTGTAATCGTTCACCATACAGTCATGGAAGTTGAGTCATTGCTTGCACACAGTATACCAATGACTGTAATCGTTCACCATACAGTCATGGAAGTTGAGTCATTGCTTGCACACAGTATACCAATGACTGTAATCGTTCCCCATACAGTCATGGAAGTTGAGTCATTGCTTGCACACAGTATACCAATGACTGTAATCGTTCCCCATACAGTCATGGAAGTTGAGTCATTGCTTGCACACAGTATACCAATGACTGTAATCGTTCCCCATACAGTCATGGAAGTTGAGTCATTGCTTGCACACAGTATACCAATGACTGTAATCGTTCCCCATACAGTCATGGAAGTTGAGTCATTGCTTGCACACAGTATACCATTGACTGTAATCGTTCCCCATACAGTCATGGAAGTTGAGTCATTGCTTGCACACAGTATAACATTGACTGTAATCGTTCCCCATACAGTCATGGAAGTTGAGTCATTGCTTGCACACAGTATACCAATGACTGTAATCGTTCCCCATACAGTCATGGAAGTTGAGTCATTGCTTGCACACAGTATACCAATGACTGTAATCGTTCACCGTACAGTCATGGAAGTTGAGTCATTGCTTGCACACAGTATACCAATGACTGTAATCGTTCCCCATACAGTCATGGAAGTTGAGTCATTGCTTGCACACAGTATACCAATGACTGTAATCGTTCCCCATACAGTCATGGAAGTTGAGTCATTGCTTGCACACAGTATACCAATGACTGTAATCGTTCCCCATACAGTCATGGAAGTTGAGTCATTGCTTGCACACAGTATACCAATGACTGTAATCGTTCCCCATACAGTCATGGAAGTTGAGTCATTGCTTGCACACAGTATACCAATGACTGTAATCGTTCACCATACAGTCATGGAAGTTGAGTCATTGCTTGCACACAGTATACCAATGACTGTAATCGTTCACCATACAGTCATGGAAGTTGAGTCATTGCTTGCACACAGTATACCAATGACTGTAATCGTTCCCCATACAGTCATGGAAGTTGAGTCATTGCTTGCACACAGTATACCAATGACTGTAATCGTTCCCCATACAGTCATGGAAGTTGAGTCATTGCTTGCACACAGTATACCAATGACTGTAATCGTTCCCCATACAGTCATGGAAGTTGAGTCATTGCTTGCACACAGTATACCAATGACTGTAATCGTTCACCATACAGTCATGGAAGTTGAGTCATTGCTTGCACACAGTATACCAATGACTGTAATCGTTCACCATACAGTCATGGAAGTTGAGTCATTGCTTGCACACAGTATACCAATGACTGTAATCGTTCCCCATACAGTCATGGAAGTTGAGTCATTGCTTGCACACAGTATACCAATGACTGTAATCGTTCCCCATACAGTCATGGAAGTTGAGTCATTGCTTGCACACAGTATACCAATGACTGTAATCGTTCCCCATACAGTCATGGAAGTTGAGTCATTGCTTGCACACAGTATACCAATGACTGTAATCGTTCCCCATACAGTCATGGAAGTTGAGTCATTGCTTGCACACAGTATACCAATGACTGTAATCGTTCCCCATACAGTCATGGAAGTTGAGTCATTGCTTGCACACAGTATACCAATGACTGTAATCGTTCCCCATACAGTCATGGAAGTTGAGTCATTGCTTGCACACAGTATACCAATGACTGTAATCGTTCACCGTACAGTCATGGAAGTTGAGTCATTGCTTGCACACAGTATACCAATGACTGTAATCGTTCCCCATACAGTCATGGAAGTTGAGTCATTGCTTGCACACAGTATACCAATGACTGTAATCGTTCACCATACAGTCATGGAAGTTGAGTCATTGCTTGCACACAGTATACCAATGACTGTAATCGTTCCCCATACAGTCATGGAAGTTGAGTCATTGCTTGCACACAGTATACCAATGACTGTAATCGTTCACCATACAGTCATGGAAGTTGAGTCATTGCTTGCACACAGTATACCAATGACTGTAATCGTTCACCATACAGTCATGGAAGTTGAGTCATTGCTTGCACACAGTATACCAATGACTGTAATCGTTCACCATACAGTCATGGAAGTTGAGTCATTGCTTGCACACAGTATACCAATGACTGTAATCGTTCCCCATACAGTCATGGAAGTTGAGTCATTGCTTGCACACAGTATACCAATGACTGTAATCGTTCCCCATACAGTCATGGAAGTTGAGTCATTGCTTGCACACAGTATACCAATGACTGTAATCGTTCCCCATACAGTCATGGAAGTTGAGTCATTGCTTGCACACAGTATACCAATGACTGTAATCGTTCCCCATACAGTCATGGAAGTTGAGTCATTGCTTGCACACAGTATACCAATGACTGTAATCGTTCACCATACAGTCATGGAAGTTGAGTCATTGCTTGCACACAGTATACCAATGACTGTAATCGTTCCCCATACAGTCATGGAAGTTGAGTCATTGCTTGCACACAGTATACCAATGACTGTAATCGTTCACCATACAGTCATGGAAGTTGAGTCATTGCTTGCACACAGTATACCAATGACTGTAATCGTTCCCCATACAGTCATGGAAGTTGAGTCATTGCTT